ACTTGAATGTTTTCCATTAATAGTTTAGCGAGAATAAAGAACAACGTGAACATGAGTTTTAAGATGCCAATAAAGGAGGGAAGAGAGAGAATAGACTTGAGAGGTATGCAGGACCGAAGAGAGGGCTACTTGCAACACACCGCTGTCAAACACTTTAACTGTTGATTGATGCATTATTCCTTTTTTGATATTATTGCGATACACTGGGGATGTAATCGAGCAATTTGCAGTCATGAGATTTTTCTTTAAAATAAAATGGAAGGCCACCAACAGATTCCAAATTAATACGGCACAAAACCGAGTGGAACACACATTCCCCAAAACACAGGGGGAAATCTCTTTATCTTTCACTTATCAGAGTTGGGTGAAACCATAATTGTGGATGCAGGGAATTAACCTGGCACAAAGTTCAGTATTCTCCCTTTCATCCAGGCTCAACAAGGTAGATAGAGGGCAAAAGAAAAATACTGCTAAAAAATGTTACTCAGATAGTGCAATAAGCATTATTCTTACTGCAATGTTAATACCATTGCACTGAGGTAGGGAAGAGGTATAAAAGAATAGTCAGGTGCGCAGGTGCCTCAAAGAGATTTCAGGGTTTACCACCTAAAAGTGAAATGGTAGCACTGTATCTGTGAATCTGCAATAGAAGATTTTGCTTCTGAGAAAAGCCAAAGATTCTGTGCCCATAAATAGACTAACGGGTCCCAGATATGATATTGATGGTATTCCATTGGCAGATGTACGATCCACATACGATTATGTAGGTATTCACCTACAAAAAAATACAGTCACTACACTTTACAATAAATGCTGTGAAACACTTGAGAGTCCTGATGTGAAAGGTGCTATATCAAATACAAAGATTATTCTTATTGCGTTCAAAAATAGAGCAATTCTTCAGTAAATTGGGTATCACCGGAGAGAGGAGGAAAACCATATGTACACCAAATTTGTTGTATTTGTTGTTTAACACAGAAAATATAGAAACATTTCTGACTATTGATGGATTATGCAGCATCGTGTATCTGTGGCTATATAATGGATGTCCAGCCTAGCAGAATGGGAAGACCACATTAGAATTGCAATTTGTCGAGATGCTAGATTAATTAACTCAATTCCCATCTTTGAGCCTTTACATACAGGGTAGGGAATATGAAAAAAAGACTCATGAATAATGTAAAAGCCATTAAAACCACATTAAGTTTGAGTCAGAGCACGCATCCAGAAATGAAAATGGATAAGTTAAAAAAGAAGAAAATTATTGAAAAGGTAATGGTATCAGTATCTGCCTGGCTCAGGTGGTAATAGCAAATACTGTTACTGTTCAGGGAAGGACTAGGGAAAGGGACTAGAGCAGACAGTTCCAATAGGAGAGCTTAGCACATGCTAAGAGATGAGACAGGCTGGGTGGGCTCCCTCTGTGCAGTTAACTTCCTAGGATTGTGTAATGGCTCCTGTGAAGGAAAGTCACAAGGCTGTTATTCAATTAAGAGTCTGGATGATAAAACCGCACAATTATAACTGAATCTCGAGCTGTCAAAGTCAAAAGCGAAATTGCAGTCCTATCATTTCTTCCACAGCACCCATTGCTCCAAGTTACAAGGTAATTTTTGCTTACGGGAGAATTATTGGTGTTCCAATCTCCTGATAAAAATCTGTCTCATAGATTGCTGTCCCTTTCAGCATTTCAATATAGGTGGACGAACGATCCAAATATTATACTTTCCACCAAAAGGTAGCCTGACCTAATTTTCAAAGCAAACCAAAGCACAGAACCAATTTTACATCTGTCAAACCGCGTGACCTGGTTTGTGCACTATTCTATTTTAAACAAACCTATCCCAAGTGAAAAGCATCGAGGTAACTGGACTGAACTGTGCAGGACATTTGAAAAAGAGACAGCGAACAGAGGAATCCACATACAAAAACACTACACAAATCAGAGTGGGTTACGAGACTGAATTAGAGATCAACTTCTACAACATGCCACAGATAGACTTGCCTAGAAGTACTCATCAACTTTCTTGGGTCCAAATGCTTTCAGAGCTGAATCAGCACTGTAAGCTGAAAAAGCACTGTAGGCATTATCGAACAGGGGCATAGCACTGTTTGTTTGGTTGTAGATGGCCAAAAAGTAAATGTGATTGCGAAAATGTATCACAACTGTTTTAACAGACTGCCTGGCTTGTCAGTCATCAAATCCAAGATAAGCCTTAACTCTGTCCAACTCGTTAATAAAACCGAGGCTATCCATCGGCCTGAAAACTTCATTAATGCCTTTGCCACCTCCACACTTGACCTCCAATACCCTGCTCACCCGCCTCCAGCTCTACCTTCCATAAGGTGCAGACCATCTAGAACTCCACCGCCCACCTCCTCTCCTACAGAACTACTTCTTCCACTGACACCATGTCCTCTCCCCCCCCTCCCTCCCTCCCCCCCCCAAAGAGGATCAACTTCAAGAGCCATGTCCTTGCCTTCAAGTATCTCCTGCGGTTGTTTCCCCTCACCCCACTAACTCCGTCCCATCAATTCTGGCCTGCTTTTTGTCCCTGCCTCAACATTGGCAGGCAAGCTTTCAGCCACCTTTCCCTGGAACTCCGTACCAAAATTCTTCTCCCTCTACTTCCAAAACCAGCCAAAATAACTTTCATAGCTCCACCTGCGCCTATCCGCAGACATTATTATCCTATGTGAAAGCCACTGTAAAGTGCAATTAGTTGTTTAGATGATGCTATTCTGCAATCAAGAAACGACGTCTTCTGGAGCACACTGCTTAACAGGTCACAATTCAGTCCTCTAGCCCACAAAGCTCAAGTGGATTCATTCCACATGGTTTCAGAAATGAAAACTGAAAGGTCTTTGTGCTTGGAGAAACTCTTGTCACAAATTTTCATTAGTGGGGCGCCATGTAGTCTTGAGTTCACAAAAATTACACTGGTCCCTTTCAGAGTAGCCCTGTACTTTGTTTTAGACACGATCTACTGAGGGGCGAAATCACTAACTGACTATCTCCCCAACCCACAAATTAGCTTTTACTCGGATCCCAAATGGTACAAACGTATAAACTAACCTGTGGGAAGATGCAGATTTCGCTCCTCATTTGCAGATCACGTCTAAAAAAAAACACATTGAACTGTCTTTGGAGTCCTATAGTTTTTAATAAACGTCTCAACAAAATTCATGTTGGCGACAACGAATTTGTAAAGGATCAGTTGGTACAGACCACTGTTGGGGCGGTACATTGCCATCTATCTGTTCAGTGGTGTCACATTGCAATGGACGCACCCTAGTGGCCATTTTCTCATGGTTGAACCTTGACACTGATCATTGGCAGACTATTCGAGCATGGAGGTATTCAACCATTGATAGCCAAAGCCACTGCGCTCCCCTTTCGACATCCACACTCACACCCCCCAGCAGTGTTCTCTGGATAGGAATCAAGAATAGGACCCTGGCAGCTTTTACATTCCTAACCCAGGAGTCAACCGAGTGCCTCAACTGCTGCCTTGCCAGAGATCTGGCATTCCAACCGGTAAAGGTCTGGCACATATAGCCTAGAACTGACTCTATTCAATATGGCATTCAGGAGACAATGAAACCATTTCTCGCAGGTTTAGTTTTGAATTAATAAAGAAAAATCTGAGTTTTTGCTCACCTTGACAAAAGATTTGACTATTAATTTCACTCACGATTACGAATGTCACAAAACGTGCCACTGAATAACTCACCTTATTTACAAGTGAGATTTTAGTGAAAACAAAAATCATGAGAGAAATGTTCACATTAAAATTAACATCTGCCTTTGAATCAAGCATAATATTCACGGAGTTTCTTTCTTTGGGGTTTAACTTCAGCTGTGTTTGTGCCGGCCCAAACGATGACATTTAAATAGCAGCTTGCAGGTTTATTTAAATGCACACCATTTAAAAATCTGAATATTAACAGTTTTATTCTTGTTATCAAATCTCAGAATTTGGATTAATGTGTCTTGTCTCTCTGCTCAAGAGATATTGAGTGAGATATTCCAAATATTATGTTGCAATATAATGGCATTCCCCATTCTGCAACCAGTGGTAAACTCTCTTGCCTACTGCTCAAATAACATCCACTTTGTGGTCAAAAGATTTTGGGCTGCTGTTCTGACACCAGATCTGAACTTGATTGACCGATCATATATATTAGCTTTGTATTAGCGATTGAAACATCCAACAGATGAAGACTAGCTAAACCTTTTATAGCTTCTTGATTTAATTTCCCCCCAGAAACAGATATTTGCATTATATGCATGGTATGCACTTTGAGCCCACAAAACTCAATTCAGTGCAGTATGTATAATAGTCAAGTATCTATTAAGGGTAAATCCCAAACTCCATTGACTTGTACACATTCACAAATGTGTGACCACAGCATCAACCACTCAGGCTTTAAACCCCCAGTTCCAAAGGCAGGCACTGTGAGGGTTTGCTTTTCTGCAGCCTTAAAATAAAGCTAATTTTAAATTATGAGATTAGACTAACATTTCACTAAGACACTTTCGATTTTGATTAGTGTGCTGGGGGATGGGGAGTGGAGAGCCATCTGTTCCTCTCTTCAAGTCATATTCGTACATTACCTGAATCTTCAGACACAGAAAACATTTATAAAGATAGAAAGGACATGTGCTGGATGGATAAACAGCACTGAACCCAACACTCGCTCTACATCGCCTGCATGTTATATCCTCAGTACACTGTTCTGTACCCCGACAAGTGTGAACTGGATCATTCTATCTATGTATAACTATGCAGAGTTCAACACACATTTGCATTGCTCCAGCAAAGAAGACTGACAAGATGGCTGAAGGTGCAGAAGGCCTGCCGGTTATTCTTCAAACTGTACTTTCTTACCCTCCGAATTTACAAAGTTGCAGCACACCCACACTGCTGCAACAAATACAAAACAGACACCTTAGGATAACGGTGACCTAAAAACAAACAAAAGATCCTCGTGGATACAGTTCTTTGTCTTTCCTAAGGAGATCACTGTACATCTGATCATATGTCGTTTTGAAATCGTATATATTTGGCTTGTCTGGAGCTGGTCCCGGTAGCTTCACGTGCGTCCCTGTTCCAAAGGATCGAACATTGAACCCTTTTTTGCTGCAAAAAGAACAACAACAAAAAAAAAGGACTGTTAGAATCACATTTCCAGGTATAACAAATCTGCAAATTGATCAGATAAGGGCTAATAAATGCAGTCTGCTGCCCACTAAACAGTTACACAGTTTTGAAGACAGACAAACATTTCCAAACTGTCAAACAAGAGGCTTTTTAGAGTCCATGCAAGCTGCCTCCGAGCTAACATTGCCTCCCTAGAGGAAGATGTTTGCAAAATCGGTCTACATTAGTGTCAACTTCTGCAGTTCACATTAATCCTTTCTGGCTATTCGTGGTATCAGAGGAGAATGGAACACCCACATCTTACATTAATACAAATTGTTTTTGTTCATGTGTATTGTGTACAACTCAAACCACTAATCCTCACGGGCTCCAAGCAGCAGAGAATACAAACACGTGAAAATTGTAATTTATTGAAAGGAAGAGGAAATACTGTCCAGACAATCTTTTGTATTCAAATTAAAATCTTGTATTGCACTAAAAGATCCCAGGCTTGACTTCTGCTCAGCCCTCATTTAATGGAATACACCCAGAGAAAAATCAGTCCCATCACTCATGATCCTCCTTAGAAAGGGTGTGCATGTAGATGTCAAATGAGCACTTTGCTGGAGCAATACAAGTGAGTGTTGGACTTTGCATAGTTAAATGTATACAGAATGATCCAGTTCACACTTGTAGAAGTACAGTACAGGACAGTGTGTACTGGGACACCAACACTCACTGCCTGAGTTCACACGAGACCCACAAGCTGAGTGAAGTTCTGGAGGCTGCCTAACAACCCAACCTTCAGGACAGAATGGGCGAATACTTGGGGGTATAATTAGGAAGTTTAAAATATCAATCATATATTGGCTATCTCATTGGCAATCTGCTCACTGAAGTTCAAATTTGTCAATGAAAATCAGGGAATATTGCTTCTGTAGCAGAAGCTTGAAATTGTTTAGGGATATTAGGAAATGTCACAGTAAATGGATTACTTGTTTATTAAAAGTAATGGAAAACCTCAAGGCCTTGTTTGCTTGCAAGTCATATCTGTGTTCAAGTTCGGAATTAACTTTGCAATTATGGATTAATCTGTTTGGGTTTTGTTGAGCGTTCTCTGTAGTCTAGATGCTTAGTCGATATCTTGTGTTTTGACTTTAATACATTAAATACATATATTTCCAATTGAGATGATTATTGTTAAGTAATAGAGTCACACAACTTAAAACATGATTTCCGTACAATTCTTTTATGTTTCTGAAAGGGAAAAACAGAAATATTGCTGATGAGGCCTGCAAACCTTTCTCAAATAGAGCATCCAGCCCTCAGCAGCCACAAGGCTGGACCCCACCTGCCTTAGAGGTAACCGTTTTTAAAGGCACAACATGTTGTTAGGCTGATGTAATGCTAAGTAGTAGCAGGCTGAAAAGAAGCTAAGGTGACCCTATACAATTGAACGTTGCATTTACAATCAATCATATTTGGATATTTCAACCAACTTCCTTAATAGTGTCATGAATAATGAGCTAAAACAGTCCAAGCTTCTAGTTTTTCTTTTGGCATTGCTTAATTAGCAGTTCTCAGTGGGATACTGGAATAGGCCTCAGCACCCCATAATTATAGAAAATCCATTGAGATGTGGGGGAAAAGGAACAGCCAGGTTTGCTACCCAATCACCCTTGCTAGAAAGGTTTACATGGACATCAGGCAAACATCTGTGTTGCCTTTCATAAATAAGATTGCCAACACTCATTGTCTTGGCTCAGTCACTGCCTTGGCTTGTACATGCTAACTTCAGTGTGAAGAGAATGGAGCGGAAAATAGGTAGAATACAATTGTGAAAGCATACAGCTTTGCACCATTAAGCTGGACTCCAGGGCAAAATAGATTTCACTTGATTAGCATTTTTAATCCTAGCCCCTTTCAGATTAGCAACCCCATTTACAATAATTGTGGACTTCAACAATTGCTAAATCAAAGATTTCAAGTATTCATGATTTTACTCATTAGGTAATCTGTATACAAATGACTGTGTAATAAGCACAGCAAGATATCACAAAACAATGTGGCACTCAACCTAAAAGGCACATGTGCACACATTTAAACGACTTCTGGAGGAATATTTGCTGCTTCATTTAAAACTATTGCTCAATCTAGCTGGACACAAAACCTTGCAGTAATACTTGGAAAACATAAGTACTGGAGACAAAAAAGTAACTGGCACCAAGACAGTACCAGGAGGGGAAACATGAAGCTAATGTCACTGGGAGACATTCCAATCATTTATAACTGGTTACACATATAGTTGGGCAGCAGAAGAAATACCACATTCAGGTTTCATCTTGTGCAACACACACAGTGAAAGTTTTGCAATCCACTGCTACCCGTATGGAAAGCCCATATTCTAGGGTACACTTCACATCAATTCTAACAAATCCAAATTAAAACCAGCATTTCATTTTTGGCAACTGACTGGACGTCATAGGCAGACCTCAACAGGCTTGAGTTTATTTTTAGTGTGGCATGGGATCTGTGTTATATCATCCAGAAAATTAGTGACAGGAGATTGTTAGGGAATTAAGTCACTAGGTATGGTTTCCTCTTTGGAAATAAAGTATAGTTTATTTTGTATTGTATTCAGATATGCAGACCACAGAGACAGCGAAAGCATTCCATGCACTCCGGGAAGCTACCCTGCGTGAGGGGAGCTACAGCAAGTTGTTGCTGTTTCTGTACTGAAATCAAAATGAAGCCACAACTCTGATATAGCAGACAGTGGTTTGGTATTTTTAAATGAAACAGTGCAGATTATAGGAACTGCTTCTTCCTGTAATTAACTTATATTTATTTTAGCTCCTTCCTGGTAGGGCAACATCTTTAAACACTTTACAGAGGGTCGAGGTGAAATATGAGGTAAATGATCAGATAGACACTTTACAACTGGCAAATTGTTTTTTATGAATTTTGTTACGATAGATTGTGCCACTGCTTTATGTCTATAGTACTGGGAATAATACATTGGCACAATTGCAAATTAGGATATCACAGAGCTCCCTTCAACTAGATTAATTCTGGGTACCCATTCTTCTCAATGGAATTCTGAAACGTATCTCAATGACAAGTCTAATAGTTTAGACATTTTATAGGTTGTCCCAAGTCTCAATTTTTACAGTTTAAATTGATTGCATCAAGAAACCATATACATTTAACAGTAGGGGCTATTGAACCAATTGTATTACAGTTGGTCCTCCAATGAGGCCATCCATCTTAATACCAATTCCCTGCCCTTTCTCTAAACTCCCTTATATCCTTCCTCTGGATGTACTCTATTCTCTTAAATGTTTTCAATTCTGCTCTGCTCCAAATCTTCCCACCAGATCATTCTATACAATAACCCTCTAGACTGCAGCTTGAAGTGTGAGCACAATGTCATTTAACACACTGTGGAGAATTCCCCTTTCAATAACTACAGACAAGAGGTGGTCTGCAGGTGTAATTTTCCCAACAGCATCACAATAGGGTGGTTGGAGTGAATCACATTCTAAGACCAGTCGATGGATGAACTTTCAATATGCAAAAAGCATGCAACGTGCTGTTCTCATAGGTCACAATCTTTGCCTAGATTACACTAAACTGACTGTCACCAAATCTTCAACACCTAACCCCTCGTGCATACAGTCACTGGTGGTTATAGGTTGAGTCATGCTTTCCAACAACCAGAATGAGTGACTAAATCGGAAGAATGAAGGATGTAGGAGGAACAGATTTTAATACTATCAGAATACGATTAAGTTAGTGAACAAATATACCTTTTTTTGCATTCCCAGTAGAAGACTAGTAAACTATTTATGGTAAAGCGATGACTCTCAAATAACATTTCGGGCAGAGGAATAAATAGATATATTCATTGATCTAAGGTAGGGTATGACCCATATGGTGAACTAGTTATGGGTGAAATATCAAAGTATATGTACAATTACCAATTTCTAATTACTGCAACATGGTGGAGGAGGGCTGCAGGTATTCAAACCCTAAAGGTGATGTAGAAACACCACAAAGATAATCCTAGTGTTAGACACGTGAAGTGTAACAAATTAAGTATGCTAAACAAAGAGAAAAAAGCTGCAGTTATTCACCCTTGACAATAAATTTCAAAGGAAACCAATTTGTTTATGCAAAATAAGAAGTGTAATAGAGACAGGAAACCAGAAGAATACATTTTGATTGTCTAGAAAGTAGGGCAATAAGGCACAGATTTTGAGGTGATTGCCATGTTGGGATAGAAGCATTTCAGAGGGCAATCAACATTAGGAAGGGTTATAAAGAAGGTTGAGGCCTAGATACTGAATTGAGCAGCTTAATGTTGCAATGGGAGTGTTATTATGAAAGCATGAGATCATTTGAAACCATATTATGACATGAGGGATATGGAACAATCAAGAATAAACAGGTTAGGGACTGTTATGTGAGCAGATCAAGTAAAATATATAATAAATGCATATAGCACATTTTGTGGAAAAGAAATGTACCCTAAATAGCAAAATTCTCAAAGCAGTGGAGGAACCGATCTAAAGGTTTACAGATCTTCACAAATTCAATCGCATACAGAAATGGAATACCAGCTTTTATACAGAGATATTAAACACAAACATAAATCGGTACAGAATGTTTGTGAGGTCACAGCTTGGCAATCCACTGTGGAAAAGATATCACAGCTCATCAAATTCACCAGAAATAATTCAGGGATAAGATGAATGGTTTAAAAATCTGAGGCTATGTTCAATGGAGCAGAGAAAATTAAAAGGAAACCAAAATGAAGTGTTTAAAATAATGACAGTTTGAGAAAAAGGAAGCTTATTTTCTTTTGATTTGTAAATTGGCAAAAAGTTAAAGACAAAATGGTTGTAGGGAGGTTGGATTCTGCAGGGATCAGGTCCAAATCAGGTTTGCAGCAGTTCTTTACACGAAGACTTGGTATTGAGTAAGCCAATCAAAGTAACACACTGAAATAGTTAGTTATAGACATTTTTCCAAGTGACGAAAATAGCAATTCTTGTTAGTGTGCTACTTTGTTGGGGTAACTATTCCAAATACAATCAGAAATTTTGCAAGTACTGAAGCTCAAGGAATTAAAAATACAAATAGTACTCTAAAGCTTTTCGTATTAAAAAAAGAATGTGTCCTAAAGTCAATCAATTTGCATGTATGTGCGCGAGAAAGTGCTCTAGATTAGCTGAACACATTTAAAATGTCGAGAAAGTTACAGTTATTCCCATTGCTTCCAATGTTAAGACAAACTGATCAAGTTAAAAGCAGTTACAATTTACTACCTTTAAATAACATCTAAGCTTTTTCAGTAATTACTGTTGTGTGCAATGACTGTTTTTGTAGTCAAATATAGCAACCATCTTGGGTACTGGAAAGTCCCAAAGAGAACAGGTGAATTAATAAGAGTGGGAGGATTATTGTCCACGACACAAATTCGTCCAAGGACAAATTAATTGCTCTTTTTGAAGTATAATGGGTTCTTTAGCAGCATCTTGGACAATGGGGTAGAATTATTGTTGTCAGCCTGGACTAGGAGCTCAAATCCTCACATGGAGCTTGAACGCCAATCTTCTGACTCAGAGGAGAGCATTACCAACCGAGCATGGCTGACTAAGAATCTTGATTTTATAGATATCCCAGCCTAACATCTTTTTAAGTTCTTATTTCTCTTGAAAGCTAGTATGGTTTCATCTATAATCATGGCAGTAAAAATAAGGTTTGTAACAGCCACAAAACTGTAAAATACCATATTAGGTTGATTCAGGTGTAAGATCCATAAACACAATCCTAGCAGTACTGAAAAGATAGTGGTTTAAGATGAACAAATCATAAATGAGGTAAACCTTGATTACTTCAGATGAAACCAAAGTAGGCGAAGGGGACGTAAAATTTAAGAACAGACTCGAACACAACAGGAAGTGTAGTGTTAACTCAGTGAGAAATATTTGCAGCAGTTTACCGGATGCAGTCGCAGAGGTGCTTCAAACAAAAATGGCTAGTGGACTATATATGGTAGTAAAGAAGTGAGCTTCCATGTTTGACATGACCTTTCCTCAAATTTTTGTTGTTGTTTCTCTACCAGCACTAAACGCAGGTTTCTCATTAGCCCCAGATAGGGCTCACATCAACACAGACCACACCAAGTTTTATTATTTCAGCCTGAAAGTAAAGTAAGTAGTTTCTGAAACGTTTAATGCGGTACGGGAGTGCCAAAACAAAACAAAACAATGGAAACTAGCTTTTCCGGATGCTGCGCGCCTGAATATCTCCCCGACATGGGCCGCGGATCTTCCAAACTTGCCCTGGTCTGTGATGGGGACATTCACTCCGTCCACCCACCCACCCACCCCAATAATAATAATAATAATAATCCTCGCACTTGTTACGGCGCCTTATCGCGTCTTCGAGACGCCTCAAAGCGCTTCGCTGGATGCGCTGTAAAAGTGATCGGCCTGTGTCATGTTGTGGGAGGACGGATCCCAGCGCTGGGGCAGCACTGGCCGTCTGTCTGTCTGCAGGATGACAGGCCATTTTCCTTGGAGGAGGGGGGGGGAGAGGAGGAGAGAGAGAGAGAGAGAGAGAATGGAGGCCTGGTCGGCCTTACTCATTCTTTGGCCTCACCCAAAGGTGTCAGGGCCAACAGTTTGGCCTGGAGGCGACGTCAATGAGGCCCGGGCACACACACACACACACATATATACATATATATCTCTATAAATAATATATTATAATGATAATATAATATGTATTATTACAGGGTCACCCAAAAGACGCGATGCCATTTTACGGTGTCTCTATTACGTCTGAAAGAAACTATATTTTTGTTGTGTTTTGTTTGAAGACAACGGGGTAGTTAGTTATCACGACTTTTTCTTTTTGGAGGGCGGGGGGGGGGGGGGGGGGGGGGGGGAGGGACACCCTGTATGATTGATACAGAGATAGAGAGACAGACAGATAGAGACAGATAGAGAGATAGAGAGAAATATATATAGAGAGAAATATATATAGAGAGAAATATATGTATATATATATATATAGAGAGAGAGAGAGAGAGAAGGTAGAGAGCCGCAGAGGGAGGCCACGGGCCGGGAGAGGGGGAAGCCGAGCAGCGAGAGGCCGAGGCCTGGTGCGTGGCGGCGGCGGCGGCGCCTCTTCTCGTCGAGGCCGCGATGTGTTTGTTTGCTCGTCGGGGGGAGTGAACGGGAATATGAGGGAGGGAGGGAGGAGAGTTGAAGGGAAGGAAGGGAAAGAGAGAGAGAGAGAGGGAGAGGGAGAGAGGGGATCAGCGAGCGAGCGAGCGAACGCGCGAACGCCGGGCGCCTTTTACCTCAGGATGTTGTGCGCCTCCATACTCCGGTTCTGGTTGCTCGAGCAAACCACGGCCACTCGCACCGGGTTCTGCGGCATGTTCTCGGCGCTCAGGCTCAGGCTCAGGCCCGCGTCTGTGTCTGTCGCTCGGGCTCAGGCAATCGGGCTCGGGTCGGTTTCGCCTCCCCCCCCCGCGGGAAGCAGCAGCAGCAGCAGCGGCCCCCGCGCCTGGCGCCCACACAAAATGGCGGCAAACTCCACTCGAACGCGACACCACCACCACCACCACCCCCCCCCCCCCACCACACGGGCTCCCCACCCACTTCCGGTGCCCGGGCGGACGTGACGTCACAATCGCGGCTCGGCACGCGGAGGGCGGGAGCAGCCGTTTTCCTCCCTCTCCCCCTCATCCCTCTCCCCCTCAGCTCTCATCCCCCTCTCCCCCCTCCTCCAGCTCTCCCCCCTCATCCCCCTCTCTCCCCTCATCCCTCTCCCCCTCAGCTCTCATCCCCCTCTCCCCCCCCACTCCAGCTCCCCCCCTCATCCCCCTCTCTCCCCTCCCCCCATCCCTCCCCCCCCTCCAGCTCCCCCCCCCTCATCCTCCTCTCTCCCCTCATCCCCCTCTCGCCCCTCAGCCCTCTCCCCCCCCCCCCACCTGAAGCTTTGTCCTGAGGAAAACAGGTGAACGACCCCAAGGCCCCGCCACCCCCCTCCAGCTCTCCCTTCCCCTTTCTCCCCTCCTCATCCCTCTCTCTCCCCTCCTCATCCTCCTCTCCCCTCCTCATCCTCTCTCTCCCTCCTCATCCTCTCTCTCCCCTCCTCATCCCTCTCTCTCCCCTCCTCATCCCTCTCTCTCCCCTCCTCATCTCTCTCTCTCCCCTCCTCATCTCTCTCTCCCCCCTCCTCATCCCTCTCTCTCCCCTCATCCCTCTCTCTCCCCCCTCCTCATCCCTCTCTCTCCCCTCCTCATCCCTCTCTCTCCCCCCTCCTCATCCCTCTCTCTCCCCTCCCCCTCCCCCCCTCCTCATCCCTCTCTCTCCCCCTCCTCATCCCTCTCTCTCCCCTCCTCATCCCTCTCTCCCCTCCTCATCCCTCTCTCTCCCTCATCCCTCTCTCTCCCCCTCCTCATCCCTCTCTCTCCCCTCCTCATCCCTCTCTCTCCCCTCCTCATCCCTCTCTCTCCCCCCTCCTCATCCCTCTCTCTCCCCTCCTCATCCCTCTCTCTCCCCTCCTCATCCCTCTCTCTCCCCCCTCTTTCCCCTCCTCATCCCTCTCTCTCCCCCTATCTCCCTTCATCCTTCTCTCTCCCCTCATCCCTCTCTTCCCCCTCCTCATCCCTCTCTCTCTCCCCCCTCTCTCCCTTCATACCTCTCCCCTCATCCCTCTCTCCCCCCTCTCACCCTTCATCCCTTTCTCTCCCCTCATCCCTCTCTTCCCCCTCATACCTCTCTCCCCCTCTCTCTCATTTCCCCCCTCCCTCCATTCCTCCCTCTCAGTCTCCTCCCCACCTCCATCACCCCCTTCCATCCCGCCCTCTTCCTCTCTCTCTCCTCCCCCTGCACACCCGCCTCTCTCCCTTCTCCCCCTCCCCATCTCTCTCTCTCTCCACCCCCTCTCCCCCTCCCCATCTCTCTCTCTCTCTCTCTCTCTCCCCTTCTTCCCCCCATATCTCTCTCTCCCTTTCCCCCTCTCTCTCCATTCCTCTGTCTATCTCCTGCCCCATGTATCATGTACTCTCATGGAATACAACAACAACAACAGATTGCACTTGTAAGGCGTCCCAGGGCGCTGACGATGAATGAATATTAACATGTTGCGGTCTCTCTTTTCTGTGACCGGAATTGTTGTTGATGCGGGTGTAAATATATAATTCTACGTCAATAAATATATATTTTTTAGATAAAAAAATCCCATTATTCTTTTAATTTGCCTCTTAATGTTCCCGTTGACCCAGGCGGGGTCGCATTTTTTGTTCAATTGTAGGTACTTTGGAGTCCTGTAGCTCAGTGGTTAGAGCACTCGCTTTGCAAGCGAGAGACCTGAGTTCAATTCCAGGCAGAGGGCGAAACCTTGGGCAAGTTTCCTTACTCCACACAGAGCCTAATAATAATCCTCCAAAACCAAACAATAATAAATTGGTCATTTTCAATCTACGACTGTTTGTGGGACATTGCTGTGCGCAATTGGCTGCCGCGTTCGCCCACAAATATACAGTCAATTCACTTTACAGTGTGTTCTGTGAAGCGCTTTGGGACGTCCTCCCGACGTGAAAAGCGCTATATCAAATGCAAGGATTATTATTATTATTACTTGCCCTGAAAGTTCCACGGATTTTTTTTTCGCAAGCGGGCAGGTTTTACCACTCACGCGATGCGCCCACATGTGCAGGACGCTCTTCGCTGATGGCATGAACTGTTGCGTGTGTATCTCATACACCCCGTGAGGGCATGCTGACCTGCACACGTTCACGATACAAAATGACATTCGTATAGCGCCTTTCACGTCGGGAGGACGGGCCACGCCGTTTCCAACGATCATTGCAATATAAAACAAAGCAACCCAACCCTACCGCCATTATGGCAGGACCTTCTATTTCCTTTCAGGAATAAAAGGAAAATTTACCAAACTTGAAAGGGAGAGAATGGGCCAAGGTACAAGATTATAACAACCACAGCTTGCACTTAAATAGCACCTTTCACATCCTCAAAGCCTTTCACGGTGAAGGAGGATAAAGAAGCAGATTGAAAAAAAAGATCAGTGGAGCCAAGAGAGAACCGAAAAAGGGAATGTAATGACACACTAGCAAACAAAATCTTCCGGATGTCACAAATACAAATATAAGTATTTGTGAGTGCAAAGAGATAATCAAATGTTCTAGTTTCTATAGCTGATATGTCTGACTCCTCCGATAAGTAATCTCAATGCTTTTCACAGAGCAGCACCAAAGAGTTTAATGGATGGTTCAAATCCAATTGAATGCTGGTTATCAGTTGCTGGAAGTTGATTTCAGATCTCACATTGTTAACAACATTTCAGGACATTCCTGAATACAATGCCCGTCTGAAACGCAGGACACAGTGTCCGAAGATCAAAGAGGCACTTTTAGAATTGAGCAAAGAAGAATTCTTCAATCTGCAGTAGCCTTTCAGCTTATGTGTGGAGACAGCAAAGCCTCAGTAATATAATTTCCTGTTGTGATCCAGGGCTTCTTGCTTCCTACAAAAATATAATACCTCATCCAGTTGTTTGGATTCTTGAAAATTAATTCTCAACCTCTTTTTTAATTTGTAGTGTTTGTGTGCAGTTTTTTTAAAAAACTTGCTTTATGCTATTCAATCATTCTGGTCAATATAATAATAATGAATGCGTTTGATATAACCCCTTATCGCGTTGTTGAGATGTCTTAAAGCGCTTCACAGAATATACTGCAAAGTGAATTGACTGTATATGTTGTGGGCGAAACGCAGCAGCCAACTGCGCACAGCAGCGTCCCCACAAACAGTCGTGGGTTGAATGACCAAATTATTTTTTATATAAACTTGTCTTGTGTGCTGCGCTGTTCCAAAAAAAGAACACAATGACACTTTGAGAAAGACAGTTCACGATTGGAAAGTGCATAACATATCATCATTTCATATTCTCTTAACTGTTTGCTTCGACGACTGCAGATACAATCACATTAAACCAGGTTCATAGCTGTAAAACCCGGGCATGTTTACCTCAGAGGAAGGTGATGTGTCATTCAGTGATCTCATAATGTCATAAAGTCAGTGCAGCTCAAAGTAGGTCAATTATATGCTGCAAGATTTATTTCAAGAGCTGAACAGCACTACCTCCCTCCGGCATCTAGTTGTGCAGATGTGGTAATGTGTAATAATAATAATAATAATCCTTGCATTTGATATAGCGCTTTTCACGTCGGGAGGACGTCCCAAAGCGCTTCACAGAACACACTGTAAAGTGAATTGACTGTATATTTGTGGGCGAACGCGGCAGCCAATTGCGCACAGCAATGTATGCAAATGGTAACTTATAATACTTATGCTATTGCAAAGCATTGAGCCATTTGGGAAAAAAACTCGCACGGTTTGGGAATTTGCAGCCACTGAAGTTTTGAATTGACTGCATTAGATTTATTACATATAAATCAATTACCCTGTCCACAGCAAAGCGACTGACTGAGATACTGACTGCATTTATCATCAAACAGAGCGGATTCTTTGGAGTCTTAACAATCATCAATCAATTAATCAATCTATCATCCCCTTAAAGAGCATCCATTCCCCCACAATGGTAAATCATTTAGCAGCAGTAGGTCAGCAGCATTCGTGGCGACAGATATTCCGTTAATCAAAGCTGTTCCATATTGCAAGAGAATTCGGATTCAATTTCAATCAGTTTTACATTTAATGAAGGTCGGGAGCAGACAGCCTCTACTACTGACAGACACGACGGTCATTTGTTGAGCGATGCTAGGCAGCTTGCTGTTTGGGACCAATAGGTTCAAGACGTATTGGGAAGGGTGAAGGACAGAGAAATCACCAGAGGTGAAACCAGCTTCGCTGATAGATAAATGTAAGATTCATTGCACCCATCCTCAAACAATGATAGATGTGAGAGAAAAAGCCAGGAGGCGAGCGAGCCGCGGTTTATATTTAGGAGTGCCTGCGCCAAGCATTTAAATAATGATGGCTAGTGCTGAATATAAAAATGATATAAAAAAAGGAAGCTCTGCTCGTGCCAGATGCTGCTCATTGATATTAGATCATAGGAAAACAGGAAGAGGGACATTTATAGCACCTTGAACCCGTTTCATCAGATCTTTGCAAATCTTTTAATCCCTAGAAACCCTACCTTTTCACCATGCGATGTATGGTGGGGGATGGGGGGGTGGTGTTGGGAAGCACCTCACAGAATCATAGAATATTACAGCACAGAAGGAGGCCATTTGGCCCATCATGTCTGTGTTGGCTCTTTAACAAAGCTACCCAACTATTCCCACTCCCCCGCTTTTACCCCACAGTCCTCCATTTTTTTCCTTTTCAAGTACATATCCAATTCCCTTTTGAAAGCTACTACCCTTAGCTTTATCTGTTTATTGAAAGTTTCGTCAGCACTATATCCATCCATTTATATTATATTCCAAGAGAGCGAGAGAGAGAGAGAGATAAAAGTAGAAAGAGAACAGAAGACAGAAACAAAGACTGGGACAATGATTCAAAGAGATAGAGAAATAGACGTCAGAATACAGGACGTGTGAGAGCAGGAGAGTACAGCATTGTCGCATCTGTTTAGC